AACCGTATATCAAATCCATTGCAAAATTAGCATCTGCTAAGGTTGCATCTCTTTATCGAGCTCGACACTTTCTTACTCCAGATTCTATTCTCTATCTCTATAAATCTCAAATCCGTCCCTGTATGGAATACTGTTGCCACATCTGGGGCGGATCTTCTAATGATGCTCTTTCTCTTTTAAACAAGGTGCAAAAACGAATTGTAAACATAGTTGGACCTGCTCTGGCAGCCAATCTCCAACCTTTGTCACATCGTCGTAATGTTGCTTCTCTTTCTCTTTTCTACAAATACTTTAATGGGCACTGCTCTAAAGAGCTAGCGTCCCTTGTGCCATCTACTAAAATTCATTCTCGTGTTACTCGCCATTCAATTAAGTCTCATCCTTTTTCTGTGACTGTTCCTAAGTGCTTCAAAAACTCTTATTCTTCTAGTTTTTTTCCTCGAACATCAGTTCTTTGGAATTCGCTTCCTTCATCTTGCTTTCCTGATTCATATAATTTGCAATCTTTTAAGTCATCAGTCAATCGTTATCTTGCTCTACAGATTTAGTCTTTTCTCTTCCAGTAACTTCCAACTCTTATAGTGGTTGCTTGCAGCCTTGTTGGAAGTGAAGATGTTAAAAAAAAAAAAAAAAAAATATATATATATATATATATATATATATATATTATATATATATATTTATATATCTATTTGTATATATATACATATATATAATATTTGTTTAAAATTCTGAATAATAGTTTCAGGAACGCAAGTTTTAAGAAAGACAGCATCTCTGATGCTGTCTTTCGTGAACGGTATAGAGTGCCGCTTGCAGATTTATCTTGCTTCTTTTTAAAAAACAATTGTGTTTTTAAAATGTCTTTAAATATAAGCTGTAACTAAATTTGATTGTTTGAATACTTTTTTTTTGAATTTGTTTTTTCTCTAGATGTTATTGTTTTTTTGGTGAAAATAATTAGAGAAGAAAGAAAATCTTGCTTCTCCGCCCATAATTTGTATGCTGTCAGTTGATGAGAATTAATAAAAATTCTATTTAGAACTGATTTTACTTGTATTAATTTGTATTTTGATTAATATGTTTTCTGCATCTTTCTGATTAATATGTATTCTGCATCTCAAATTGAATTTATTATTATAAAATCAATCCTTTCCGAAAGCAAATTTTAAACAGGAAAAAAATTATATTAATGAAGCACGAAAAAAGTAAAAGTATTTGAACGTATGCGTCTAACACTTAAAATCATATAGTTTTGGGTGGTAAGAGGTACCAAAAGTTTTCTTAATATCAAATTAGGTAAAAACTTTCAAATCATAAACCATAACTTTTATAGAAGTTGTAGTAAAAATCAAGTCGTACATTGCACACAGTTATCACGGTGGCAATTCCTTGCATGACGCCTTCAACCACAAACTTTGAAAAATTTAACTATTAGAAACTAAATATTCCAACTAGGAAAAGTTAAAAATTTGTTCCAACCAATACTCTTAGTCAATGTGTAAGCATTAGAGTGCATAGTAGAAAGAAAAATACTAGGTTAAAAACATATAGTAAAGATTTGTTTGTGTATAGCAATAAAAAGTTGCCTTTGAGATTAAATTCGTAGGATTCTTCCTCCTTTTCTTCCGTCTCCCACCAAAATTTGAGCAGAAGCTCTATTTTAGCAAAGTAGCGTCTTAAGGGTTCAAAGAAGTGTCTAAAACTCTATTTTAGCAAAGTATGTAAAGTGAGTAAAATGTTAATATTTGGTCAGCGACTGACCTTCGAAAATCCTTGATGTCTTATTATGATCCTGATAAAAATGTCACCTTGACATTTTATGGATAATAAAGCACTTATATTTAATTATCTATACCTATGAATAATATTCTTGTAATTATTCTTGATCTTGTTCTTGTTGATTTATGGCTGATTGAGATAAAGTATGTTAACAAGTTCTGAGTTGTTATTGGAAAGTATAACTTAACTAATTTTGCCGATTTCATTTTTAGCAGGGTTTAATAAACAGACAGTTTTTTTTTTTTTTTTTTTCTTTTGCATTCACTCCTAACAAGGCTGCAAGCAACCACTATCAAGTTGGGAGTTACTAGGAAAAAAAAAACAGAGTTATAGAGCAAGGAAACGGTTGACTAAAAACTTGAAAGTTAAAGGTTGTATGAGTCAGGAAAACATGAAGATGGGAGAGAGTTCCAAAGGATTGAAGAGCGGGGAAAAAAACTAGATGAATAAAAGTGTTTAGAGCATACAGGGACAGATACAGTAAACGAATGAGACTTAGCTGAATGACGAGTAAAATGAGAATGAATTTTAGTTGATGGAACTGGAGATGATAACTCCTTTGAGCAGTGACCATGACAGTATCTGTAGAAAAAAGAAAGAGATGCAACTTTACGACGATGGGAAAGAGGTTCAAGCTTAGCAGATAGTCCAGGTCCAACAACATTTACAATGCGTTTTTGGACCTTGTCAAGAAGAGAAAGTGAATCGTTAAAAGAACCAGCCCAAATATGACAACAGTATTCCATACAGGGACGAATAAGAGATTTGTAGAGGTAGAAAATGGAATCAAAAGTAAGAAAATGGCGAGCACGATAAAGAGAAGCAACCTTAGCAGAAGCTAATTTAGTAATCGATTGTATATATGGTTTCCATGAAAGGTCAGTAGTAACCGATAATCCAAGAAGACGTAAAGAGGACGACTCAGTAAGAGGATTTCCATTCATTAAAATAGGAATGTTGACCATATTACGGTAGTTGTTTGCAGTAAGCAACTGAGCTTTTTTAGAGTTGAAATTCACAAGCCACTGTGAACCCCAATCTACCACCGAAGTGAGATCAGATTCAAGATCAGCTGCTTGTTCTAGGCGATCGAAAAGAGAAGACTTTTTGTCAAGACAGGAGTATAAAGTTGAGTCATCAGCAAAAAGAGCTACTTTAGATGAAAGGTTGTCAGGATGATCGTTTATGTAGATAAGAAACAAAACAGGGCCCAGGATGGAACCTTGGGGAACCCCAGAAGTTACTGGAAATAAAGAGTGTTGCCCTTAAAGGATGACTTTAATAAACCGGTTAGAAAGAAATGATTTGATAATCTCAAAAACTTTCTCAGAAACACCATATGAAGCAAGCTTATGGAGAAGACCAGCATGCCAAACTTTGTCAAAAGCTTTAGATATGTCGAGAGCAATAGCCCTAGCCTCACCGCCTCCATCTAATGCATGATAAAATCTTTCAGTTATAGCAGTTAGCAAGTCGGCCGAAGAGCGAGAGGATCGAAAACCGCATTGATTGTCTGACAGCAGTTTATTTGACTCAAGATGAGATGTGAGGAATTTGTTGTAACGGACGATAATTAGAGGGGTCAGAATTTTCTTAAGAGTTTTTGAATATTGGAACCACAGATGCCATTTTCCAACAAACAGGAAAACAAGACTCAGTCAAACACTTGTTAAATAGCTTAGAGAGAAATGAAAAAAGTTCTGGAGAACAATTCTGCAAGACTGTAACGGGAATGTTGTCTGGACCACAAGCTGTAGACGAGTTTAATTGAGATATGACTTTCGCAACAGAAGCCGGAGTGATTTGAATGTCTAACAATGGGTCAACCTGTTTGACTGGAATGGAAGGAAGAGAATGTTCATATGATTCAAGAGTGGAATTAGAAGCAAACAGTTTGCAAAACACTTTGCAAACAGTTCTGCCTTATCCCTGGGAGAGGTAACAAGATCAGTCCCATGAATGAGAGATGTAATGTTAGATCTACCCTTGTTAACAATGCTGTTGAAGATTTTCCAAAAGTCTTTAGAGCCTAACTTCTGCGATAAGATGCGAGATTTAGTGAACTGAGAATAATGGAGTTTAGCATCAGAAAGGACCTTTTTACATCGATTTCTTGCAATAATAAATAGCCATTTGTTCTCAAGAGAGTTGTTCTTTTGAAAAAGATAAAAAAAATGGTTACGATTGAATATAGCAGCCGCACAAGAAGGAGAAAACCATGGAGTAGAATGAGGCTTGACTTGAAATTGACGCGAAGGTATAAAAGCTTCCATTCCAGCCTGAATCCAGGAGGTTATGTAGGAGGCGCGTTTGTCAGCTGAGAGAGAAAAAACATCAGCCCAAGGACCATCACGAAGAATATCACGAAAGGAATCCTAGTCAGCTTTAGGGTAGTAGTAGGTGGTGCGATGATAAGGTGAGCATAAAAAAGAAATACGAGAAGAAAGATTTTCAGAGATCATTGCATGGTCAGAACCACCTAAGGGAGAAAAGGGAGAAACTAAACATAAGCTAGGGTCAGAGACAAGACATAAGTCAAGGAGTGAAGGTAAATGATTAGGGTTATCAGGAAAACGAGTCATAAAGTTTACTATCTGAGTAAGAGATTGAGAAACGCAGATGTTAAAGGCTTTAGTGCCAATTTTACTAACTTTTTCTGATAAAATATTTAATTTATATAATATATCTATAAGTGTTTATAGAGTTTATAAACTATAAGTGTTTAAAAGTGTTTATAGATATATTATATAAATTGGATATTTTATCAGAAAAAGTATTAGTAAAATTACTATTGCGCATCGCAGATGTCATTTTTAAAATTTGTGTTGTAAATTATGGTATACTTAATGAAAGTTAATGTTTTTTTATTATATCAATTAAGATACATACATAATCAATTTTAAAAAAGACTAATGGCAATTTAGGATATTGTTCTTGTAAAAGGTTCAACATCAAAGAATCTTGAGAAAGAAGGGTAGTGTTTGATAAAGAGCAAAAACTTTGGATCAGATGACAACTTTAGCTGCGAACAGATGATAACTTTGGCTGCTATTCATATAAGCTGTGAAGCCGTGAACCTTAGTCATATGCGGACAAATAGGAACAATGTTTTAATATATAAACATACGTGGCTATAAAAAATGTATATTAAAGATGGCTGACTTATAAGAATATATATATATATAAGTGTAGTACAGTGTTTTATTAACGACACAACAATGGCGCTACGAGTAAGGGACGATTTGACTTTAGATGACCTAGACAATGCAGAAGCATGGATTAGATGCTTTTCAGCTTCCGCACGTTCAAAGAAATTAAAAGATGAGATAAACGGTAGCTACGAGATAACAGATTTATTTATGGCAAAAGCTTGGATTGAAGCAGTTAAAAAGATTTCTCTTATGGTATATCCAGAAGAATTAGAAAATATGATGTTCGATGATATTAAAACTGTTGTTATGTCCCATTTGAGACCTCAAAAACGACTAATTATTGCTGAAAGAGTTCGATTTTTAGCATTAAAACAGCAAAACAATGAAAACATCGTATCATATGCACAAAGATTACGCGAAGCTTCACGCTTTTGCAACTTCAAAAAATTGGGAAGAGATCGCCAAAGTGCGGAAGTTGATTTGATTCAAATGAGATTGATTGATGGTCTCCAATCTTCTGATCAGAGAGTTAAAGCTCTAGAAATGATACAGAGTGGAGAATCGCCTAAACTAGGAGCATGTATTGATTTTATTAGGCAACTGGAGCAAACATCCTGTTTTAGTATACAAAACAACATCGAAAACAGCATAGACCTTCCTTCAGTTAATTACATTGATAAAAATAAAGAAAGAATGATTAAATGCAAGTATTGTGGCCTTCAACACCCACCTAGGAAATGCCCAGCATTTGGGAAGAGTTGTAAAAAATGTGGAAAGCTGAACCACTTTAAAAACGTATGCAAAGCAAACACTAAATATGAAAAAATAGTAGAGGAAATAGAGAACGATGATGCTAGTGTGTATTCCATTAACATGAATGATACAAACTCAGAGATTGGTGTAAAAATTAATGACTACAATATGAAAATGCAAGTTGACACCGGAAGTCAAGTCACAATTATTCCAATAAATTTTTGGGAACTAATGTCTAAACCGAAATTACAAAAATGCTACCTTCGCCTGAAACAGTTTGATGGCACAGTTATAAAAGTCCTAGGCGAATTTGAGGCAACTTTGGAAACCGAATCAAAAATGAATATCGTACGAATTATTGTTGCAGACTGTACAAAAAATCATGGTCTAATTGGTTTGGATGTATTAAATATCAACGCCACAAAATTAGTAAATAGTATAAAACCTCTTGTTCATTGGCGTTTAATTAATTACAAAGCAAATATTCTGTTAAAAAGCGGCGTACAACCAACTTATTTTGAAGCTCGACCTCTTCCTATCCATATAAGACCACTAGTGGTAGATAAACTTTATGGAATGATACAGCAAGGGTTGCTTCAAAGGGTTCCTCCTGGTGGAAGCAGATGGGCTTCACCGCTTGTGGTTGTTAGAAAAACAGACGGAGATTTACGCATTTGTGCGGATTACAAAATAGGTGTTAACCAAAAATTATGCTCAGACTCATATCCCATCCCAAACATTGAGACCGTATTTCATAAAATGGCAGGGATGAAATATTTTGCTAAAATTGATCTCAAGGGAGCTTATCATCAAATTGAGATGGACAAAGAGGCACAAGAAATAACAACAGTTAATACCCCTATTAGATTATTAAGATGGACCTGTTTACCTTTCGAAATTAAGACTGCAAGTGCGATATTTCAAAGAGCGATAGAATCTGTTGTTGGCGATATTATTCCCAATATGATTATATTTCAAGACGATATATGTGTCGGTGCTAAAAATGCTGAAGAACTCAAATCGAATTTAAACAAAATATTGAGCAAATTGAAGGAATCGGGAATGAGCATAAATAAACGAAAGTCAGTGAATAAAACAAAAAGTCTTTCATTTTTAGGATATGAACTGTCAGAAAAAGGAGTTACCCCAGATCGTAATTTAGTCAGCAAAATACTTGGAATTAGTCCTCCTAATAATAAATAGGAACTCGAGTCATTTATACGATTAATAAACTTTTATGGTCGACACATTGATAAATATGCTGAAAAATTTTTACCTTTAAACAATTTCAGAAAGAAAGGAGTTACATTCGAATGGAGGAAGGAGCATCAACAGGCATTTGAATTGCTAAAAAGAAACCTTTGTGAAGAACCCGTAGTGAAGGTTTATGACATCAACCAAGATCTAGAGTTAACAACAGATGCTAGCGAGAAAGCTATATCTGGAATACTTTCACAGAATGGCCATCCGGTATTGTATCTATCACGAACTTTATCAGACGCTGAGACAAGATATTCTAATATTGAGAGAGAAGCTTCAGCTATTGTATGGTCTGCTCACAGAGCTAGACATTTTCTGTTGGGTAGAAAATTCAAATTAATATCAGATCACAGGCCATTAGAATTTATATTTGAAAGTAACAAAGAATTGCCTAAAGTCACATCCGCTAGAATTTTAAGATGGGCCATACAAATGATGGCATTTGACTACGAAATAAGCTACAAGAAGGGAGAAAACATTCCTCATGCTGACGCATTATCGAGATTGTCCTTTCTACCACAAGATGAAGAGAAAGACCAAGAAACATTTATACACTTAGTCGAGTCAGATATAGTGAACCTTGAGCAAATAATAAAAGAAACAGAAAATGATCGGGTATTGATGGACATCAAAACCAGAATTAGGAAGAATAATTGGAGCAGATGCTCGGTAACAGAAAGACCCTATAAATCTATTAGGAATAAACTGACTATCGAAAAAGGAATTGTGTGTAATGGTGACCTCATTGTACCTCCTAAGACAATGAGAAAGATCTTCATCAAATCGATTCATGATGATATACATTGTGGCATAATGTAAACGCGATGTAGATTAAAATTAGAAGCCTGGTGTCCTGGCTACTGTCAAGATGTTGAAGAATATGTGAAAAACTGTGAAAAATGTTCCGAAATAAAAGTGAAGAAGGAAAGGACATTACATACATGGCCAAGTGAAAATAAACCTTGGTGTAGAGTACATATGGATCATGCACATGTACAGGGTATCGGACTGTTTTTGATACATATGGATCATGCACATGTACAGGGTATCGGACTGTTTTTGATTTTAGTTGATTCTTTTTCTGGCCGGAAGTTATTAAGGTAAATAACCGTGAAGCGACCACTGTATAGGCAGTACTACAAAGTGTTTTTTCAAGAAATGGAGTTCCAGAGGTTTTAGTATCCGACAATGCTGCGGAATTTCATGATACCACCTTACACCAGTGGCTAAAGAAAGTAGGTTGCGTACCTTATAAGACTCCACCTTACCATCCTTAATCTAACGGAGAAGCTGAAAGAATGGTAGAGACAGTTAAGATGGATTTAAGAGCTTATTCACCGGACAAAGGTTTATTATGTGGATATTTAAGCAGAATGCTTTTAAGTTACAGAACAATACCTCATGCAGGAAGATCAAGGAGTCCTTCTGAGATGATGGGAAGGCAGTTGAGATCCCCTCTTACCATGAGTTTCGAAAGTGGGACACCTTTATGGTACCGTCAAAAACCAGATTCCAAACCTGAACCTGCCTCATTCATCTCTCAGGCAGGTCTAAACACTGCAATCATATTAAGGAATAACTCTTCGGGTACGTTAGCACACTGTGACCAAATAAACAAACGCCTAAATGAGCCTAGTATACTTATGAATAATGAAGACAGTATGCGGTATGATCATACCAATAATGAAAAAATCGATCCATGCAATAGTGATAAATCTGATATGTCCGAACTACATGTTACTAAAATAGAACCTAACCAGAATCGAAGAAGTACTCGGTCGACAAGGGGGCAAAAGCTAATACGTTTCAGGGATGTAAAGCCGTGAACCTTAGTCATGTGCGGACAAATAGGAACAATGTTTTAATATATATAAACATACGTGGCTATAAAAAATGTATATTAAAGATGGCTTACTTATAAGAATATATATATTTAAGTGTAGTACAGTGTTTTATTAACGACACAACATAAGCAACGTTAGAAAGTCATGTCTCTGCTTATAGCTCCTGGTATTAAATGTCTCCGGGTTCTGCCTTGACTATATGCATTTGATGTCTTGAAGTTGTTAAAAGAATCTTGAATTGTTTTAGTAAAAGTCCTTTGACTGGGCTGTCACAAGCACATATTTGACAAATATGTGAGAAACTACATTCCAAGTTATTTTACTAGATAGCGGCAATCATTGATTTCATTGAAGTCGATAGACTGAAAGCAACTGAAATTCAGACAAATTCTAATATAAACTGGACCAGTTTCGTAAAATAAATTTGTTTCTGACCCTGACTATGAATACTTCTTATCTGTTTTTATTTTGGTGCATCCAGATGGTAACCTGCGAATAGAATTACATAAGTATTTTGTGAACGACTGCATAGAAAATATTAGTTATAGATTTACTGTGTACAACATTCATAATTGAGTGATGAAAAAGAAAATTTCGATTGCTTATTGAACAACATATCCTTATATCCATTTGAAACATATATTTGCACATGCTAAAAAAAAGTTAAAAAACTGCCAACAATCCAAATGTACAAAAAGTAAAGCGAATCATCAGTGAAGATATTATTTATGAGAGCAAATTAGAAATTAATGCAGAATAAAAGTTGCTTCAAGCAGCAGAGATGATTTTTTTTCAATAAAAAAGAAAAAATTGTTTTTATAAGATTTTAAATAATAAGAACGCTTAAATATGCGAAGTTTATACAAAGAGTTTTTTAAAGTCATATTATTGACCATTTATGACCATTCTATTAACTCGAAATTGTTGGAATTTACTTCCTAAAAAAAACCCCAAATAATTCTTAACTTACTATTCATGAAAATAAACTACAAAAATTTGTTACTTCACCGTTCAAGAGTTGCTTTGTAATATATCCTGTTATTTATCTAGTCAAAAAAAAGTCTTGTGCGTTGATGCGTAATATATGAAATAATATATATTTTTATTGTAAACCGTGTTTCTTTATCCATATATTGCATTGGATAGTTCAAAATCAGATAGGTTGGATAGATTGGATAGTTCAAAATCGCTTTAATAACTTTAACGAATGATAAGTAGTTAAATTACACTTAGTAAAACAAAAAGTAAACAGCAATAACTTTTGCCTATCAAAGAAAATTCAAAAATCTAACATAATCAGAAAGTTTGATTCTTAAGTCTGACAATTTGGGCAGGTACTGTATATACGTTTGTATAAATGATATTTGATATCACTTTATATTTGATAATCTTAAATATTTGATATCACTTATATTTATAAAGTAATATGTAAAACGTTTAATTTATTATGTAATGAGGTTACATAATATGAGTATTTTATCATACATTTAACGATATCAATTTCAAGAGTGATTAATTTGTGTAATGACAAATTTCTTACGATTTTATCATTTAAACATAACAAAATAACAAACAATAATTAATTCGGGTTTTGTGCCACTTCTTTAAACACGCGAAAGTTCGAAGCTACATTTTAAGGCAATTTATTGGTATTTTAATATTCGTTTGAGTTACTCTCATAAAATCAACTTCTAAGTAAGTTTTAAAAGTTGTTTATTTATTTAATTAAAAACAACAAAAAGGCCCGAAGACCACTAACACTGAGTATACATTTTCACACTGAGTCTACAAATTTTACATTTTACACTGAGTATACAAATTTTTTGCTCAATGTTAAATTGTAACAAGTTCTGGACAAGTTAGTATTATAATTGTATTAACTTGAGCAAAGCAGTACAGCAAGACGATTTTTAAACATTAAGACAGACGATGCAGACACCACATTCTCCGATAAGCTATTCCATACATTAACAATTCGATTAGAAAAGAAACACTTAGTGCTGTTTAAATTACAATGGTATTTGCTCAGTTTAAAGTTATGACCGCAATTATTCAAGTAAGAATTGAAAATAAGAATGTTTGATAGGTGAGTGTCCAGTTTACGGTTAAGAATTTTGTAGCATAAAACTAAATCTTTTAACACCCGTCGATATTCTAATGTGTTAAGCTTTAGTATGGCTAGACGCTTATCATAGGAAACTGATCACAGACCAGCAATTCTTCTAGTGAATAACGCTGCTTTTTCTCTTATTGATTACTAATTTAGTTTTACTAAATATGACTATTCAGGTATATAGTGTAAGGTGACCATACTGAAGAGCAATATTTAAGCATATTTCGTATATAAGTAAAGTAGGCTTTAAACATCAGCAATCTGTCTCGTTAATAAACAACCTTTAGAATAAGAAAAGGTCTTGACATAGCTTTATGTACGATGAGATTAATATGTTGATTGAATTTGAAATTACTATCAATGGTTATTCCAAGATCTCATACACAGTTACATAGGCTAGTTCATGGTTATTTATGGTGTGAACACGCTGGGCTATGTTTTGACTCTGGTTAAAAATAGTACAGGCAAAGTATTTTTCAGTTGCTATTTGGAGTTGCCAAGTACAATTCCATTCGTACAAACGATTAACAGCTACATGAAGGTCTGACTGAAGACCATGTACATTATAAACTGAATATAATTTAGTATCATTAGCAAAAAGTGTAAGTTTGACATTAAGCTGTTTATTAATGTGGCTCGCTACGCTAAAAAAAATCTCCTATCATTTATAAACAAGAATAGTGTAGATCTAAGAACGATACTCTGTGGAACACCGCTTGTAACAGATATAGCATGGGAAGTAACATTATTTAAATTTACCACCTGTGATCTCATGTGCAGAAGTTAGTGTGAAATTGAATCGAAAGCTTTAAACCATTAACATAAATTTACTACTGGGAAAATGCAGTTTTTAAGTTTCCCGAAAATTTACGTAGTTGGACTTCCGCCCCTTTTAACATACACTGATTTAAAAGTTTCTTCAATTTGATTTAGTATACTTTGAGTAGGTAACTTTTTTCCTCTGCCTCTAGCACCAAAGACTTAAGCTAATTTGTTACAATTTTCTTGGGTGCTGTTGTTGAAATAATCATGCTACTTATTAAGATAATTACATGTTATTAGTGCTTTAAAATGTTTGTTTTATATAACAAGTTACCTTCTGACACAATAGTGAGTGGTTTCTCAATTGCACATGATATGTTATTATTGCTTGCACAGTTTCAAAATCAGTTTCTTTTTTACTTACTGTTATTTTAATGATTTCACCTTTTATCATTTAAAGCCTTGATGTACAGAATTAGTCTATTCGTAAATAAAGTCTGTAGCTTTGAATGTACAGATTTTTTATAAGAAGCTATATTGGAGCTACAGTTTTCTATAGTCCAGTCTTAAAATTGTTCGAAATTTTTAAGTATTTTTTATTTCAGCTTTTTTAAAACCTAATACTTGACCTGCTTTGTCCAAAATTGTTGAGGCACTGATAATAAAAGAATTATTAATAACATAAAAGAAATTTGAAACCATATTGACAATAATTAATCTTTTGCAGAGTTTTGAAGCTAGTTTTCTTATATTTTGGGAAGATAAGGCACATTAAAATTTCTGCTGAAAATGGTAATTGAGCTAATAATTCTGTAGAAAAAAGCAAACTTGAGCTAGTTAAAAGAAGCTATATTTGCTTTTTTACCTGCAAAACAAAGCTACTCATTATTTAAAACTACCCCACAAGAGGGGGTAGATTTAGACATTGTTGGAGTAGTTTAGTATAATAAAATTACAAGAAATGTTTATATTAATTAATTTTTCCGATTAGAATTAATAATTATAACAACAAATTATTGACAGTATTTAACTCAATATAGGTCTCTAAATTACTAAACATTTTTCTTGTATATTATACTTAAACAGTTTAAAATGAAAAT